TTCCAACTTGAGCAAGACCGAGTTTACACAAGTTTATAAAATTTTATGCCTCCTATCTGAGCTAGGCTTTGAAAACAAGTAAGTGGCGGACCCGCGAATGTGTAAATGACCGCCAGTCACTTCTCCCCTTTAATTCAATTTACATTTGCTAACGATGTCCTATGTGTTGTTATTGGTAATCTGGTTATTACAATATTTCAAAAATCGAAAATATTTGGTTCACCTTTAGCTTACAAAGGCATCATGTATACATTAGTAGGGCAAATAGATTTTTGCCACCAAAAATAAAAAAGATTATTTTATTTTACTCAGCATCGTACAGTAAATTACTATATTATTGAGTAAATTTTCTAAAGAAACATTTCACTTTATTAACTTATTTTATTTTATTTAATGACACAAAGAACCACAATTTTCTCTCTAGATGTTCCACACGATCACTGAGCACAAATATCGGTAGAATCTGTTTCGCTTTATAAATCGAGTTAAGAAATAAATAATACCTCGGAGTAAGATCTTGGAAGTAATAAAACCCGATTCTTCCGTTATGTTACTTTTATTGAATCTATTGTATTAAGTTCAGATGGATCTCTTCATATCTCTGACGTCATATATTTAACCTTTGTTTTTCTAAGCAATAAAGTTGAAATATTTTATTGAATCCAATATATTAATAACTCGGGACATTCAGCTACACAAAGGGTATTAACATTTGATATACGCGGAAGCACGTCCCTGTTAAAACTTACGCCATAACGACATCAAACAACGTGTTCTGAACGTCCACAACTCAAAGAAATTAACACAATTCATTACTGAAGCTTATTCTATATAAGTTTGGAACTGCTCTTGTTTTGGGTCGAACGAGTTTAGCAATGCGTTCGACTCCGGGCAATTACGAAGTTTTGTGTGTGGTCACCTTCTATTTCACACATGAAGAGTTATTGTGCCGTTGACGAAGAACCACACTAACCCATCCGTAATAATTGCGTTCTTGTTGACACATCAAAAACTTATGGGGTTAAAGGGAAATTCAGAAACGTCCAACGCTACTTTAAATGGAAATTGTGGAGAATTAGAAATGGTTCAGTCGGAGTGTAAAAGTCGATCAGATTTATGTGTTTCGAACGATAATTTGCATAATCTATGAAGGAACATTTTACGATGTAAAAGTTATCTGATTGCGAGTTATATCCATAAATAATTTTGTACAAGAGTCTCAACTTCGGATACTGCATACAAAATATGAATTCATAAGCCAGACTTTTCAGAAGAACAATAGACCGCCTGTCAGTCTGTGTTCCTACGGGGCTACTAGTTACGTAGAGCAATACTAGAGTTTGTTTATTTAGTTAAAATACAACAAACTGAGCAACTAAATATTGTAGTAAAATCCAGCTCAATAAATTTAAATAGCTGCATGGTTCTGAAGCGTTCTATATAAAATAAGCTTTTAAATATTTCGCAGCGATGAGCGATAGCCGCTATTGACGCTCGTTTATTACATTTTTAAATTCGGTGAGCTGTCCGATAATCTGTTTCACTTTCACGTGTGAAATGACTTTATGAAGTGAGAAATTGCAAAATTAATGCGGTTTTCTGTAAAGATTTTTTAATCAAATGCTTAAAATGTATTAATTATTATACTTGGTTATTCTCTCTTAAGTATACGACAATAGTCCAACAATATGTAGGTTATAAGTATGACTTAAACATCATAAACAAACACACACTAAGGTAAAAAGATATGATATAGGTACACACCAAGACTTCACGCTATGAATTTTAATGACGTCTCTATGTTCGTTACTTTTGATATTTAACGAAAAATGTTGAATATCTGCCGTGATCATTACTGAGTCACTTACAGACCTCGTTAAATTACGATGAAAGGGTGGATGAAAAGGATTTTGCTGTTCCAACAACTTTTATTTTATTATTTTGCTAGAGTAATTTGTTGGTATAAATCAGAATTAATTGCTAAAAAGTAATTTTCTAATGCTATTTTAAAAAGCTACGATAATGTAATAGGACGGGAAACGTTGTTAATGTATAAATATGTTGGTAATTATGTTTGTAATCATAAATCTGTTCAACACAGAGATTGAGCTATGACTAGTATTTTTTTCAAAAATACTTCGTAAATAAAAACTACATTCATTGAACAATGAAACTGTGCTATGACATATCAACGCCTGGATATTTGGGTGTTAAAAATTGTTTTAAATAAGATTTTTTAGAAAAATAGGTTACAGTGTACGAATCTACCTACATAGTTGTAAAAATTATAGAGCTTCTAACTGTACACGATTGACAAACGCTGAAGGAAACCAGGACTTGAAATTCCCAACTATAAGTTTGAAATCGCCAATCCGCCTCGATTGATTAATCATTACACCTTCTCCGTGTATCAAACTCCTTTGCTCAGCTGCAGCAGTGAAATCTTACAGACTGATGATGATGTCAATATCAGCTAGTAGTAACTTTATATCACCGAACACGTAACTGTCTAAATAGGCAAGTGAACAATTTTCATTCAGCAATTGTTATGTAAGCCTACCGCAAAGCCTAAGCGTAGGAAGACCTTTGATCCAACATCTGACTACAAACATTATTTATGTGGCACACAATTTATACCGAACACGTTCCATACTCATTGTGAGGACCACCTAGAGGATACGGTGGAGCATACGGTAGCGGTATGCCCTGCCTGGGCTGAGCACCGCCGTATCCTCATGGAAGTGATCGGCGGCGGCGACCTCTCGCGCCCGGCCTTAGTCGAGGCCATGGTGCGGAGTGAGAGGAACTGGGACGCCGTCTCCTCCTTTTGTGAAGCAGTCATGCTCGCAAAGAGAGAGGCGGCCCGCGTGAGGGAGCAATCCTCCTCCTCACGTCCCAGCAGCCGCAACTGGCGACACTACGGGCGTCGGGGATCGAGGGACGATCTCCGGCCACCGTAAGTACGGGCCTGCGGTCGGCGAGTAAGGGCAGCTCGCCGCCCGACCAGAACCAGGCCCGAGCGTACGGCGCGTAGCGTTCCGCGCGCGCCTCAAAGAGCCAATAGACCACCACAGACGGGGCCCTAAAGGGCTAATGTTCAGCCGGGGTTGCGGGGTAAGCGCAATGAGGTACCGCGACCTCGGCACAGAGCAGGAGAAGGAACAGGGGGGTTTTTAGTCAGTAAGAGTCTGACACTCCCTCCTGCCCGGCCCTGGGCGGGAGAAGTCATTCGATGATTTTCCCCTCACAAAAAAAAAAAAAAAAAAACACCTTCTCCGTGTGACAAACTCCTTTGCTCAGCTGCAGTAGTGGACTCTTACAGACTGATGATGAAGTGAATATAACACCAACTAGTAGTAATATTATATATGTATACTTTATATCACCCAATACAAAACACGTAACTGTCTAAATAGGCAAGTGAACAATTTTCATTCAGTAATTGTTATGTAAGCCTACCGCAAAGCCTAAGCGTAGGAAGACCTTTGATCCAACATCCGACTACAAACAATATAGAATGGTGCTATCTCTCAAGCAATTTCCTATTACCCATGCGTGGGTTTACTACCTAACGTCTGAACCAAACTGAATTATATATAAACTAATGGATACTGCAAACTGGATATACTATAGACGTTCAACAATCACATTCCTAAAGGTTACAATCTGTTTACACGTTACATTATGTATTTGAACTATAGTTCTATAGGTCCTTTGCAAATGATAAGTTCATTTTGTAACAAGCAGATTCAGAAGTGTGCAAATGATAAGTTCAAAGTGTTATAATATAGAAGTGATAAGTTCAACGTGTAACAATTCACGTAACGATCATTTATTTTTCCTTAGAAAGTACCTGTCTTTATTGTTTAAGTAATCAAGTGGAAAACTCAAGTACCAGTACCAGGTATATATAGGTATACCTAGTATAGGTATTTAAGACCCAGAGTTTTGAAAACTGGCAAGTACCAATGTGACTTTTGTCGAGTTATGTGTACTTTCTATGATTAGTAAGACACCACTGACATACGGTGAAGAAAAGCAGCGTGAGGAAACCTGGACCTATAATTTCTAAATACATATAATTTTGAAATCGCCAATCAGCCTAAAGCACGCGTAGCGACCTTTGCTCAGCAGTGGGCATTTGTAGGCTGACGATGAACTATAGAAAATGTTAAAGCACCCACGACCCGAGAAAACCCTAGTTTGATCAATGTTTTTTTTAATAGAAAAAGGGTTTCAGCTTGTTTTTTGCAGGTCAAGTGCCTCATTCAATTGACATACCATGGCATACCATGACACACCATGTAGCAGAAAATGGAACGGGATGGTTTTTATTCGCTCCCTCTCGGAAGAAAAGTCATTCAGAATTCTCTCTTCTCTCTCTCACTCTCAAAGATAAGAACAATTTTTGAGACTTGCGTTAGTATTAAACCTCTTCAAACAATGGATTAATGAATGTACTACATAACATTTCCATGATGCCGACACAGCAGAATGGCCAGTGGAACTATTTGGTCAGTTAATTCTGACACGTCAGCGGTCTGCAACGATAATAGTAATCGTGACAGTGCCCCGACACACTGGACCACGGCCAAGAGTCTGACCATGGCGTATTCAGTTCACCTGGTTCGTTCTAATCACTAACACATACTAGAATATTCGATAGAATACATTCAGATAGTAAATATGTACTTAATAATGACGTACAATAAAGAACAGTCCTGAAAGAAACGGTTTATTTGAATTATTTATAGGTATTCCTTATTTGAATTTATATGGGAAATGACAGTCGAATATTCGATCATGAATACCTAAGGAAAACAGTAGAAAATATACAAGAACTAACACGCATTCATGTATTTAAGTATGTATTTTGTAGCAATATTAAAGCGATCGTTGTCGGGTGTTCATCGGAAAGTGGGACATAAACTCTTATTCTAGTTAGCAATATCTAATAATAGTCCCGAATACAGTTAGCGAAACAGCTGTGATAATGTGCATCAATAGTCGGGGACGTGTGGCGGTGCATCCCGCGTGAGCACGCTGCCCCTGCATCCGGGCTCCCGTTGTTTGCCATGTGTCGAGTAAACACCCACCGACGACCGGCAAACTTGTAATGCGACAGCTGTGCCGCGCTGAATCTCATTGTTCCAATTCACTACTTTTATCCCGGAAAATCTAGTCTCGAAAATGTTACACCAGGGCGAGTACAAAGTTTTATACAAACTCTCTAAAAATCAAATATTTACCTTGTTCACATTTAAATCTGTTTTCAGTTAATACCGTTACAAAGTTTGCTGCAACAATATTGCTCTTGCAGGAATGTACGTGACAGTGGTAACAATTATATTAATTCTCGGTAACGTGGGTGCGGTATTTCGGAAATTTGAAACTCTGAAGACGACTGTTAACATCGGTGAGTAAGTTTACGACCGAGATACAACTTCGTATTATATCTTGGAATACTAACGAGCAGAAAGAACATTTCCAACAAAATAAAATTTATATTTAGCTATTATTGTGAGAAAGTGATATCGTTACATTTAATTTACCTACTATTTTCTTTGACACATGAAACTTATTGAGAAATCAAAAGAAAAACATAATAAGGGTAGAAATATTACCCCGAGAAAGATGTAGACAGGGATAAAAATGTTGATTCCCATTTAAAGGTATTTAAATTCTATTTGGATTCGAAACTTCATTTGGATGTGACCTCTGAATTTGTTTGAGTGTTTCTACTAAAAGCACCTTAGTCAGGCAGAAAATCGGCCGACCTTATCGATTAAAATAAAGCTGTTTCATTGTGTAACTTCTATGTTTCTTGTGTCTGTTATTATACTTATTTCTTATATTATTTATAATGAAAACATCTTAAACATGATTTACAAACAATTAATATTGCTTTCTTTTAATTGTAGGTGCAATATTTCCTCCAAATACAGTAGCGGAAGTGGCGTTTTCATCGGCTCTGGCTCGTGCTTCAATGGAAAGTGAACGTTATCACTTCGTTATGAAGGCTGTTTATTCACCATTCGGTGATAGTTTTTCAGCGTCAAAAGCAGGTGAGCCAAATATTTTTTTCTTTCTGAGGACTTGTGTTTTAAATATCTTTATAGTTCCCCCTCAGTATTTTTCTTTCATAAGGAAGCTCGTACGTATACAAAGATGGATATAAAAATGTATAAAAGAAAAGATATATTGCGCCGACCCCAAATAAATTAGGATAAGGGCAGGTAGATGATAGCATGAGCACATAGAAAATGAAAAGGGGAGTCGATCTTAAGGAAAAATCTTAACTTAGAAAAGACCACTCATGCTAAAATAGAATGTGTTTCCAAATACTACACGTTACGTTTACGAATCAATATGTATTTCAATAAACACACACCCCTTTGTAACTCTGTTTGACATTGTTACTAATAGAATTAACATTTGCAGCAACAATATGAAATGTGGTGCTTCCACAGCAAATATCGTAGCTCCACATTATTATTTTACGCCCTTAATGTTAGATTAATTTTGCACAATAAACGCTAAATATACCTCAGTAACAGTATTTGATCAATTTTGCATTTGCCGACACAACAATACGTTTACCACAACCGTTTAAATTATTAATACCACATTTAGGGCATTCCTATTGCCTATTTACAGCAATTTGGTTTCACATTAATTTGACATGAAAATTACTAGGCACAAAGCCAAATCCCATACTAAATACATCGAATTCAATTTGAGGTAAATAACCCTATTACGTTTTTATCTAGTTAAGTGTTGAACCCAAAGATGTAGTACTCAGATTAATGTCAATATCATGAAATATATTTATTTATTAAATAAAATGGACTATCTCAAAATGCTCGCAAATTGCAGCAAAAGGGATTCGATTTTTTAAGTCAATTCATTCGTCGATGGAAAGTCAATTCTTAGTACAGCCCTAGTTCTAAATTAAATTATTTTATTCCTATTTTAATTATTATAACCAACTTTTATTTAACTTGCAATGTATGTATGCAAGTATGTTTCCTCCTATATATATGTATGGATCCTGCAACTAAATTTTATAGCAGATATCTTCAATCGATTGAGCTTAAACTTTGTATATGTACTTGTTTAGTTTGGAAGACAATTAATGCTAAACTGTGTGAGTTTATTTATTTATTTATTTATTTATTTAAAAGTTTACAATATAATCTTTACAGGTGTACACCCAATGCGTTTTATATTGTTATACATGTCAAACATTTGAGAATAATTAAATCCAACCTAAAATTAAGATCATATAAATTAAACTACATAGTCAAAGAAAATAAAGAAACATGTCCAAGAGAAATTAAAATAGAAAAATATTTATCACTTAAAAATAAACATCTTAGAAATGTCACATAAAAATCTTAGAAATTTAATAAGAAAAACATAACCAATATACATCAAATAAAAATAATAATTTAATAATTCAAAAGTTTCCACTGCCATAAAAAATAAAACATTTTAAGAGCTCCCGCCTAAATCAAATATAATAAATAAAACACAAAATAATTAATTCTTAAACTATCCACATGAACTTAGAATGTCAGTAGTCACTTTTACGAATTCCGCCATTGTACAATTAAATATATCTATTTTTAGTGCTACCTTGTTGATGAGCTTTATAGCCCTAGGCACTGGTGCATATTTTCCCAAATTTGTGCGCGCTGACGGAACCTCAAACAGTCTTGCCCTGAGCCTTAGCCTGGTGTCTGGGACAAGCAGCCTCAAAGAAGCCAATACCGACGGATTATTTATTTTTCCTCGTAAAACCTCAAATATATATTTAGCTAGTGCTAGGTCGCGTCTAACTTCCAACTTATAGTATCCCACCATACCCAAGACGAATAGGGTTGGATACATAAGTGGGTAGAATGGATATACCCCATACTGCTTAAAATATAAATAGCGTGTGAATTTGTTTTGCATCTTCTCCACCATGAGGCTATATTTAACCTCATGGGGGTTCCAGATGAAAGCACTCGTTTCTAATTGACTCCTAACCAATGCATTATATAAACTTTTTATTGCAGTAATATTCTTAAAGTCTCTGCTTTCTCTCATTATGAAGCCTAAACTTCTGTATGCTTTGGAGCAAACTTTCACAATATGCTCACGGAAGGTCAGATCTTTCGTAACTAGTACTCCTAAATCTCGCACGGATGCTACGCGGGGGATGACTGTTCCCTCCATTTGGTATATGTAGTGCACAGGACTGACCGCACGAGTGCAGGACATGATATTGCACTTTGCCACATTGTAGTACAATTTGTTTTTCCGGCTCCACTCAACTACCAAGTCAATATCACTCTGTAAGCGTGCACAATCTCTTTCATCGGCGATTTGTAAAAACAACTTTAAGTCGTCGGCAAAGAGTAAACAATCCGCGTTCTTTATTACTTCTGGAAGATCATTGATCATAATAACAAATTCTAAAGGGCCCAGATTACTTCCTTGACTCACCCCGGATAGAGTGCGGTACTGATTCGATATGTGGCCGCTGTACTCTACAAACTGCCTACGGTTCCCAAGGTAACTAGAAAAAAATTGTAGCAGGTCTGGAGTAAACCCAGCCGTGGCCAATTTACACAAGAGAACGTCATTATTAACGCTGTCAAACGCTTTTCTAAAATCGAAATATGCAACGTCAAGCTGGGCGCCAGCCTCGGAATCAAGAACCGGAGCCGCCTTGTTCATAAAGCACATGAGGTTCGAGTTCGTGCTGCGACCTGCTCGAAATCCGTGCTGAGCGTCACTTAGCTGCGCGCTGACCTGAGGAGTGATGCACGCGCAAAGCGCTGTTTCAAAGACTTTGGCGAAGGTAGATAACACTGCAACCGGTCTGTAGCCACTCACGTCCGAGCTAGGCGCACCCTTAGGAACTGGAGTTACCCTAGTTAATTTCCACCCATCAGGGTAAACGCATTCTCTCAGGCAGAGATTGAACAAATGTTGCAGTGGGCGAGCCAACGATCTACTGCAATCCTTTACAACATAGGGTGGAACCCCATCTGGACCCACCGACCGCTTGGGCTTAAGACGCGCAAGCGCAGCTAGCACATCTTTGAGAGACAGCTGCCCCACGTGGATGCGCGTGCCGCACTCGGGCGCCTCGCGCGCAGCGGCCTCTGCGTCCAGACGTGGCTCCTCTATTCCATACACCGAACTAAAATAGTCTGCGAACTCCTGAGCACACTCAGCCTCTTCTAGGGGCAATCCATTTTTTACGATACGGGTTTTACTTCGTTTCGACCGTTTACTCCCTATAAAAGACCAAAAAGACCGTGGTTCTTTTGTAAATTGTGACTCAATACGGCTTTGATAATTACTGTAACAGATAGAAATGTTACGTTTTACTAAAGAACGAAAATGTGAGAATTTTTGATAATCGTTGGTCGATCCACTACTCTTATACGATTTATGCCAGAATGCTTTTTGCTTTATGTCGCCTATGAGTTCTGCCGTATACCACTCCGGGTATTGGTACCGAGATCCACTGACTTTAGGCTTTTTTCTGGGAGTGCTTTCATCCAATGCTTTATAAAATAAATCATAAAAAACAACATACGCTTCGTTGACGCTTCCCGCCTCATACACCGCATTCCAATCAGTTTGCGACATCGCGATATATAGTGAGTAGAAGTCAGCTTTAGCGAAATTCCATCTTGGGTAAAGGGTAGCAGGAGATGGCCGTGCCGCATGTTGTGATCGCGCTATGCACTCACGCGCATTCGTCAATGCCACATACAACGGTGGGTGCTGTGGGTCGATGCAAGACAGGCTCTCACTTGCTTCAGCTACCTGTAGATCCTCGCTGGAAAAGGTGGTCAATACTACATCAAGCGTGCGATTATTACAGTTACAGATATTGTTACATTGTCGGAATCCGCAATAAGTGATAAAGTATTCATAATAGCATTGCACATTTTGGTTAGCAGAATACATGTTTAAATCAGCAACAAGCACAGTCTTTTCATATTTTATACACAGTTGTTCCATTAAGTGAAACATGAGCATATATTCACTTTCGCAAGCATTAGGTGGTATATAAGCTACTATACATAAGCAAATTAACTTATTATTGCGATGAATGGTTGCACATACCATTTCAAATAAATGATTGTCTAGATTAGTATTACCAGGTATGGACAAACTTTGCATTTCAAAACCACAATATAATCTACTGACTAACATAACGCCTCCGTGTTTACGACCATCAGCACGATCGCAGCGCAGCACAGCGTAGCCATCTGGTATAAGTTCTCCGTCGTGTATCGAACTGTTCAGACCGGTTTCAGTAATAGCAAAAAAGTCAGCCGAAGATGTTAGTAAGCTGTGGTAGAACGGTTTTAACTTAGTGCGAAGTCCTCTGACGTTTTGGTAGTAGAGGTTCAGTATATTATGTTGTTTGGTGTTTACTTGGGGACTATTGACTACATTATTGAGATGTTTTTGATTCACGAAAAGTTTTGTTGCGAAAGTTTTGGCGCCATGGTTTAATGCAGATATCCTCAGGCCAGTGTTTCGGATCCATCACATTGTCTGCTAGTTTGACAGGTACGCCTAATTTAAAAGAGGCATAGTTGCCCCTTGCCTTAAGACTTTCCACCGTGCAGGCCTCGCTACCACATATTGCCTTGAGGTGTGAACTGACTTGGTTTTCGGTGGTGCCAACCTTCACATAAAATAAGTGCAAGTACCGCCAGCGTTCTGAAGCTTCCAGTTGGGTAGCACCTGGTGAAGCTGTTCCTCTCATAATCCCAGTGGGCTGCTTGTACTTCTGTTTTTCTCTCCTGTTTACTTCTGTCCACCCACTATTTTGCATCACATCCTCTGAGTTAATGTCCTGGTTATCTTGAGTTCCACAGGTTTCATTACACGTATTCTGACTTTTAGATGTTTTGCAGAGACTCTTAGCCAAAGCTGTGTCTATTCTGGGCTGTTTCGATAGTTCAGTCTGTATTCCTTCGGAGATTTGCCGTGCCTCCATTCTCTCCAACTTTTTTTCAAGATCCGATATTCGATCGTTTAGCTTCGTGATAGTAGTGTTTACAACTAGAGCAACTTGTTCGGCTACGAAATTGCTAATTAAAATAGGCAGGCGCTCGCTCAAAGCTTGTTCCATCTCTTCTCGAATACTGGAGCGTAGGTCGTCTATAAATGATTTTTCAGGTGAAATAAGGTCACGTAATTGGCTATTTTGGTTATGGAATTTATTAGGATGTTTGCGGGTCGTTACATTCATACTGGGAGTATTGTCAGCGAGGCTATTGTTCGGCAGGTCATCTGTGGGGATGAAGTTATTAGATGTAAAGTTATCCTGCTCGATTTTCTTGTGATTTTCAGACTCAGTGTCTGTTCTTCCTAAACGAATGGGAGTGTTTGAGTTGTCTGCCTTTGGTATTTTACATTTGCACTCAACACAGGTCCATTTTTGCTTATATTCAGAGGTTTTGCTGTTATACTGCCTTATGGCTATATTAGCACAGAGAAGGTCGTACGTTTGACGACATGAACAGCATTGTAAATATTGTTTACTTTCAATTCCTTTCCGACAGCCTGCGCATACATTTGACGGAGGTGCCATCTTTTAACAAATATCGGAAATAGATTTAACCCTGGCGACAATAATAATCTACTAGATGGCGCTGTTGTCTCCTTTCTACTTTATTCAATTAGTTTTGTTCGTGGTTTTGTTGTACTTAGAACGATTTTAATTATCTGTGGTGTATTCTGTATCGTGAATGACAATAATTCAGCAAAGTCATTCAGTAAGTTTGTTTACATTGCACAGTTTGAACTTTTAACGAATATTTCTTGCTGTTTATTTTAGTTTAGACAAGTTTAGCACTTTTATTAGTTTTTGTAACTATTGAGTTTCTGTGATGCACTGATTGAAATTGTCCTTTGCACTTTTAGTACGCGAATTTCACTGTCTGTAAGGAATAACAGTTAATGTTTATATTTACACTTTACCGGTGAGTTCTTTTATTAAAATGCACTTGATACTTGGGATAACATTTCCACGTGAATATTGCACTTTTATACATTGAATACCACTAACTTTCTTAGTCTAGACTTCTTAGTTACATTTAAATAGCAATTATTACTTAGAGCTCATATTCAGAGAACGAACGAACGAACGAACCGAACGAAAATATAAAATATAAATTACTTTACACTTAACCCATAAAAATATCTCTAAAGGTTTAGGTAAGTACCGGGACTTATAAAAGAGATGTTTGAAAAAATATTTATAAAAAACAATGTAATGTTTAATAATTAATTTCTATTTTTAAAAAGTCATGCGTAAAATGCTTATCGCCCCGACTATCCCCAACTGAAATGACACAAAAAGCCAAGTCGATGTTTAGTGACAAAAGCACGTATTTCCAGCATGTGAGCTGCTCTCTAGCGGTGTGATCGCAGTGTTTGGGCCCACTGACCCAGTCTCAGCATCAGCAGTCGAAGCACATTGTAGAGCTGCTCGAGTGCCACACATTCAGGTACTGGTTTGTCTGTTTCAGTTTTTAATATTGATTTTGTACATACCGTTTAAATTATTGTTGTTTTAACACTTGTCATTATTAGACTGTTTTCTATTGGTTGTATGTAAAAAAGGGTGGTCCGAGATCTTTTCATTTTCATTCTATTTACATTTCCATCACACTAAAACAGGAACTAAAATTCAGTATTGGTATCAATGTTCATCTCTACTATTTTCATTTTTTGTTACGCGTGGGAACCTTCAAACGAAAGGCATGGCATGGCAGATTGTGGGACTAAAACTAGCCAAGTGACCACCATCATCACTTATATATATCTTTCTATATCTTATAAATACGTCCTACAATAGACCTAACCTGGAGCCCTGCGGTACAACGCCTATGTATCCCTAAACCCTGCATCCCTACCTACCTCTTGAAACAGCTTCATATCAAATTCTAGAGTTACACAATATAAAACATGTTCTATTCTGCATTACACGTTTGTATATAGGCGTTCTCTGCAGATCTATACAACAAACAATCGGACAGTTGAACTTAACCCTCTTACGAGAAAGGGGCTTCTCGAAGAAGACTAAACTGAATAACATTCCTTGGTTAGGTAAATCTAAAAATTGTATTAAACCTAGAAACAGTGACGTGGTAGGTCTCCTTTCTAATTAACTTCTTAAGCACTTTCGTCCTACTAACTATGACAACAAATCTGTAGCTTACGTAAACAGGTATTTATGAAAGAATTCATTATTATTATCCATCTACTTAAGCAAAGATAGAATGCCAAATTTAGAAGTGATTCCAAGAAAATTATTTTATTTTCATTGATACCTGGTATAGACAGTTTAAAAATAGAAAAACATCGTTATATTTATATTACATATATTAACCGTACGTGGCAGTCCGTTTTTGGCCTTAGACCTCCTCTACAAAAAGGGTTTACCTGGCAGATGGATTGGAGATCATTGCATAATGCAGCTTAAATCCGTTTAGCAGACTGATCACTAGATGGTCAAGCAATCAGCGTCGCCCATAGTCACTAGCAAGACTAACCCCCGGTTTCCGAAAGGCCGATCAATGATAAAATCAATCTAATCTCTTGTCAAGTCATCTGATTGGTTGACTGAATTATCAACAACCAATCAGATGACTTGATGAGATTTAACAGGAGATTAGATAATTTTAGCGTTGGCAAGGCTTTCAGAAACCGGGTGTTAAGCTAATAGAATGTTGCTGGCTTAAAATAAATTAAGTAAGTATTGACAAATTAGCAATTCACTTAACGGTAATACGTATATGTTATGTTCATTTCTAATGACAATTCGATTTATGTGCAAGTTACAGTTCTAAGCTAACCTAAGATTCCGGCAGAACTCTGTTTAAATGAGAATCTCTTCACCCTACAACGTAGGGCTTGAATGAGAAATTTCTGAAGTTCTAACTTTAAGAAGGGCTAATATAATGTTTAATATAAAAATCACTTTACATCGTTCGGTAATTTTAATACTTGGACTGAACAGGCAGTATGGCGTCCACCACCGGTTCGAGGACTAAAGCAGCCGACACCTCCGGGCATCAACTTGTACCCCGAAGCCGTAGCTCTGTCCAAAGCAGTAGCTCTGTTCATAGCAGACAGCGATTGGAAATCTTATACGCTTCTATATGATGACGATCATGGTAGTATTCTTAACAATACATTCATTATGTAATAAAATATTGATATACTTTCTATAGTGAACAAAACTGTTGGACTAATGCCCGTTTTCACCAACAGCCCCTAAAATTTAAGTGTCTCTTAAGCCAATATAAGGGACACTTATCGCGAGTTTTGTTTTCACCAACGTTTAAGTGTCACCTATATCATTAGGGGTTCCTTATAATTTAGGGGATGAATTGACGACCCCGTAACGTTTAAGTGACACATAGTGTTAGGTTATTTTGCGAATCACCAAACAGTATTTTATCCTACTGAATAAGATAAAAAATAATAAAAATGGATAATAACCACTATTTATTTGATGATTTTAAGCAATTGAAGATATGGAATTGTTAAGTAACCGACATTTGTATAGACGACCTCGTATTTGTCGTGAAAGATCGAAAGATTTTGAAAAATATGATGAAAAAGACTTTTTCATAAGATACAGGTTCCCTGCTCAACCTTACTTGTATTTAAAGAAATAAATCTGTGGCACCGATTAACCAATTACTGTGTGCCCTTAGATTTTATGCAACAGGCAATCAATTATTATCTGTAGCAGATCTCAATCCCATCAGTGTATCTACTTGCAGTAGAATTATAAAAAGAGTGTCTGACGCTATCGTGGTTCGTGGCAAAGCGAATTCATACAATTTCCAGACACCGAAGAAAAACAACAAATAGTAAAAGAAGAATTTTACAGAATAGCTCGATTTCCAAATGTTTTAGGATGTATAGACTGTACACACATAAAAATTCAATTATAAGGTTGGGCGTTTAGAGAAACACAGGTCCTTACGAGTAACCATTTATTACTGAATCTCCTATGAAATAATACATAATTTAATAAGATGGATAGACACGCACACATACAGATACGGCAGATTTTTGTGTCATATTTATTGAGCCTCCAGCGAACACCGTCGTTCGCACACCTATCTCTCTCTCGTCTTTCTATGATGTCTCTAAGAATGATATTCAAAAGTCTTTTAATTGTATTAACTAGAAACCTTCTTTACATTTATTCATGTGATAAATTATAGGAGGAGATGATGCCGAACTATTCTGGAATAGAAAAAGCAGTATGTCTATTAATATGCAAACAATAAGTACTGCAAAATTATTAATAACTGATGTGGTGACTCGCTAGCCAGGATAAACAACATTCTTTGTCTTCAAGTGAAAAATTTTGACCACGTTTCCTCTTTTCTGCCATTGTACTTAATAAAAATTTGGTATTTTTTGAAAATACACGAAATGATTGAAATGAAACTGTCACTGGATAGTGGCATCAAAATGTCACCGGCACCGCGTCTTTGTAAACTATGGCATTCAACATACAGCCAAAAAATAAAAACACAACTTTTTGTTACTAATCTAACATTTACCAGTTCAAGACTCTTCTTTTCGAAATAAATTGAAGTTAGAAAAGTTAATTACATGTTTTATGGTTGTATATTTACGAAAATAACAATAGAATTGTTTAATCGATTCATTTATCGATAACTGTTTGCATAGTTCCTCAACACTAAACGTCACCTAATTAGGGGGCTCTTAATTAGGTGACACTTATTACAGTGAAACAAAATTTAAGTTAAGGGATGATTTGAACGGTCCCCTAAGTTAAGTGGCCCTTACTAAGGTGACTGTTTAGGGGCTGTTGGTGAAAACGGGCATAACTGTACCAACTTACATATGTAGATAGATTTTTAGATTTAAATTACTCACAACTATGTAGATCACTCTCTTAATTAATACATTAGTCGTCTTAATAATGAAAGGGAATCTAGTCAAATAAATATTAATATAACTCAAACATTCATTATTTCAGGACTTATAAGGCTACAAGAAATATTAAAACATACTGATCCAGATTTAAAGTGGTTAGTCCGAAGATTGGTGCCGGGAGAAGACAACCGGCCATTGTTAAAAAGTTTAAAAAGTACTGGAGAAACAAGGGTTATACTGGACTGCCCAGCTGACAGAGTACTTGAATACTTACGCCAAGCCAATGAGGTTAAATTTTTTGAAGACTATATGGTACGTAGTATATTTTCAAAATAAAGTATTTTACGGAAGCAATCAGAGCCACCCACATCACCGGAGTAGTTACAGTGTTACATACACACATACATACTTACTAAATTCTAATAACATCACAGTTAGTACGCGTTACATCTTCTTGATACCTCAAATTCTATTCGAATTAATAAACTGACAAAAAAGAGAATCAACGTAACTACTTTGTTTGTACATCATTATCGACGCGAAGAAAAAAGGCGAGCCTACCTACGTAAGCGGAATCGAGACCCAAAATTAAAGCAAATACAGCCGCAAACTGAATTATACTAACGAGAATTTACTTTCGTACTTATGATATCTAACTTG